TGCTACCATCACTATTATGATCATCCTCAGTACTACTAGTGACAGTGATAGGTTGCTTACGTCTTGGTGAACCTCTCATTAGTCTGTCAAACTCTTCATCATCCATTGTTTTACTTGATCCTCCTCTATTTATTTTGGATCTTGATTTTCGTGGTGGCACAACACCTTGACTTAGGCCTACTCCTCCATCGTCATCGGAAAAACGATTTGCCCACGTCGCTAGGAAAGTGTTTGGTCTTGTTGATTGCCCATCATCATCAAGTTCATCTAAAAGTGCATCACTAGGATCATCTAACCACTCTGAAATACCTTCATCTTCGTCAAAAACAGTGGTTAAGTCTATAGGTCTGAATTCATACCCTTTTTTGTCCTTCATAAGGTGCTTTAATTTCAACCTCATGTTATATTGTGCAAACACCAGCCTTTCTAACTTTTGATAATTGAGTCTATTTCGCACTTTAGTGTGAATGAGAGCAAATGTGCTCCAGTTTCTCTCACAACCACTAGATGAAGTTGTTTGCGACAATATTCTCATAGCAATCTTTATCAAATTTGGAGCATCAATGCCATACATAAATCACCATTCAGCTGCATAATAATAAGAAACATATTAAAACCTTAAAGAAAAATATAAATAAAAAATCATGAGAACAAAATATAAAAGTGTAAATAATCTACTTAATTACCTGGATCACTTTTTGTTCTTCCTCTAATTGCAGCTTGGTCAGTAAAACAATACATAGCCTCTCGAAATATTTTTACCTAAATATCATGGGTATATTGATGTTATATATTAATTTAGCATATTTGTAAATTGAGATTGAAATACTAAAGTATTATCTCTGCAAGTGCTTCAGCAGCCTTGTTTGGATTTGTTTTTAGTCTAGACACAACGATCCGAAGCGAACCCAAGAAATTTTCTAATACACCAACATCTTCTTCATAATGGTATATGGGGTTCAAGTAATAAGCTATACAATATAAAAAATGATAACACTTATAAATGATAACATTCAAAATGATAACACTTATCAATAATAAAAATATAAATTGATAAACAATAAGTTTACCTGCCATATGAATATGTTGAATGATTTATTTTTTCCATCGAGCATCAATGATGTCAAGATATTTTTTGCACAATTTAGGAGCCGCATCTTTGACAACTTGTTTTGCTCGTTTCATTGCTTCATATACATATGACATTGTTGCTTTTCTTTCCTCATCCACCATTCTTAGAACTTTTGCAATAGGTGTATGCATATTCAACACATTTTTGGCGGTCTCCCAAAATTTAGGATTTAGAATTGTCCCTTGAACTCGCTTTCCAACTGGATTCTTTGCTGCCGCAGTCCTAGACCAACCTTCTGAAGTAAACATCCTTTGCAAACCATTCTCTGCTCCAACATACTTTGTAAGACAATATAATTAGTGGCAAATCTTGTTTGCCCTGGCTGAATCAATTCCCCCGAACAAAATGTTCTCATTATATCTAAGACTCTATTATGATTATAAATAAAATTGGTCACTCTTTTAGCTTGCTCAAGTACATTTTTAACCGTTTCAATCTTGAAAAAATCATACAAAATCAAATCTAGAGAGTGGGCAGCACAAGGAGTCCAATATAGGTGTGGTCTTCTTTTCATCAACATTTCACCAGTTTTTTTGTACGCACTGTCATTGTCTGTAATAATCTGAACCACATATTTCTCTCCAATCTCTTCAACAACAGCATCCATCAACCCCAAAATATAATTAGCATCCTTGTCATGACCAGAACTATCAATTAACTTGTGGAAAACAACTTTTCCTTCACAATATATCAAGAAGTTAATGATAGATAATCTTGTGGTGGATGTCCATCCATCACACATGATTGTCATTCCATAAATCTCCCACTTCTTTTTGAACTGATCAATGTACTCTTTCAGCTCATCTATCTCATTATCTAGCAATGGTCCGCTAATCTCATATGGGGTTGGGCTTTTCACACCCATTCCAGCTAAAGCAATTTCATCAATCATCAATTGATAAAAATGACCTTGAGCTTTGCTTGGTGGAATATTCTCATAAATAAAATACTTTGCAATAGCATGTTTCGCCGACTTTGCCCACTTTTTGGGATTCCACATATGAGTTAGCTTGACTTGCTTCACTTCCCTATTCTGATACATCGAAAGATCCATCTCTTCTATCGTGAGATCCTTTTCTCTGCCCATCCACTTTTGTGATTTTTTGGAGAATTTATCCCAAGATTCCTTCACACTATGTGACGTATTAAATCCCTAGATATACCATTTTTTTGGATAGATGGTCTAGAACTTCTTCCTCTAAAGCCTTGCTCGGCCATATGTATATCACGAGTAGATTGTTGTTTTGCATACTCAATACCATCTCTATATTTTATATCCATATCATCATCTGAATTCTTATCGGAAGAATAAATTTCGATACCACTCCTCCGCCTCGATCCACCAATTAAATTCTGTCTCATTTTTCTCCGTTCACCAGTCACTTCTGCATTTTCAGTCTTGTTGCGATTCAAGTAATCCCTCATAGCTTTTGCAATTTCAATAGGACACTTATCACATTGTTCCACATTATTATAACCATTTGCCAAGTGTTGTTTTAACCGTGACACACCGCCACCCATCATTTTTTTATGGCAAAAATTACACATTACATGTTGTCGATTATCCCTAATTCGTTCGCCGTAATTCCTTCTAATATCACGTTCTTTTTTCTTTTTCTGCGATGATTCAGTAGTCACATTCTTTCCTTTTAATGTCATATCTACAATAAATATCATTACATTATTAAATATATTAAATTAATTCTACAAATTAAATATGACATGTATAACACTTTTAATTAAAATATAATAATATAAAAAAATAATTATAAAAATAAAAAAAAATAATGAAGGGTATCAAATTAAATTAATGGTACTTATGTATGCAGTGGGGTACTAAATATAATTACAGTTGGGTGGTAAATGTAATTACAGTGGGATATTAAATGTAATTACAGTGGGTATTAACTATTAAATGTAATTGTAGTGAGGTATCAAGTGTAATTGTAGTGGGTATCAAGTGTAATTGTAGTGGGTATCAATTGTAATTACAATGAGTATTAACTATTAAATGTAATTACAGTGGAGTGGTAAATGTAATTACAGTATATATCAAATGTAATTACAGTGGGTATTAACTATTAAATGTAATTACTGTTGGGTATTGAATGTAATTACAGTATGTATTAAATATAATTATAAGGGGTATTAAATATAATTATTCATACATGTAACAAAAAAAAAATAATATATATATATATATATGGCAAACGGCATAAACGACTCAAACAACCACACACACCCCAGACGACTTCGGACAAAACACAGAGAGGCGATCGCGATCGCAATCGCGATGCCGATGCCGAAGCCGGAGTGGGAGAGAGAGAGGAAGAAGAAGAAGATACCTCGGGCTCGTGAGCCCTAGATCTGCGTGGAAAACCCGAAAATGGCTGAATTTGCTCAAATCTGGACTCAAGGTTAGTTCCTCTAGTCTTCTCCTTCATTTTCTCTGTCTCTTCGAGTTCCTGTGGTGCCTTTCCCTCTCTCTTTTGTTTGTTTTTTTTTTTTTTGCCTGAACCTGGAGTCCTGGACAGTCTCTCTTCTCTCTCTTCTGTCTATTTTTTTTTTTTTGCTTGGAAGACTTGGATTATGTGATTTCTGTGTTTTATTCCCGATTTTTTCTCTGTGAAATTTGACTGACTTGTGGAAGGAATCTGCTTTCTGTGCCTCATGTGATTTTTGTGTTTTTTCTCTGTGAATTCTGACCGACATGTGAAAGGAATCTGCTTTCTAACATCTCTGTTTTTTTCTTTTGTTTTTTTTTTTTACCTGGAGTGAACCACATCGAATCTGTACTGTTTCGACAAAAACGGTCCGACACACTGCCGATTCGAACGAAACATTGGAATTTTAGTATTCATCTCCTGTTTCGTGTCGGTGTGTTGAAATTCCGAAACGTTTCGGACGTTTCGACACAACATTTCGTTTCTTGGTGATGGTGCTGTGCTACATTTGCTCGGTTCATCGACCTTATAGAACATAATGATCTATTGTTAAAAATTCTATTTAGTAAGGAACACATTGGGAAGCCATTCACTTAAGGGTGAGTTATAGAGAAGAATAGTCATATCTTATCACTTACTCCTACATCTATTATAACCAAATGAAATGTCTGTGTAATGTTGCCTCTGATCAATGTAAAACTGACCTGACTGTTTCTTCACATTTGAAATAGGCAAATACACACAAAAATGAGTTAGGTTGTGTTGTCATTAGTGAAAAATCAGTGGCTAATCGCAAATTCTCCTTCTAAGCAACTTAGTTCATTTGTTCGACCTTTGGTTTCTACAGTTTGACCACTTTTGTTTCTGCAAAGCAATCATACTAGGGAAAAGCAATTGTTTGAAACTTAAGCATGATATTTCCCTCTTATAGTTTGTGAGTGGAATTGCACAGCCAGGCATTATTAGAGTTGTTTTGGGGGCACGACCCTGAATCTAATATTTCATTTGCATATATGTTGTATATGTAGGACCGATTTTTTAAACCAGCGTCAAGGAAGCAGGAAACGGCACCTTCAACTAAGTAGAAAAATTGGGAGGAATATGTGCATCTCAAATGTCATCAGAGTGTTCCAGACTTCCAGGTGTTATGTTTGCTGAGTATAACATTTGCAAATGTACTTTTTAAATTGCTGCTTGAGACACAACTTCTAGTTGAATAAAGTTGTTATGTTTAATTGGTTCAGCAAAGCCAGTTGCAAAAGTTATATTATATTCATTATGATGGTTCACTGCGCCTGGATGCAAAAGTTATATTATATACACACGCACACACGCGCGCGCGCGCACCAGGATTGAGTTTATAGTATTCATTGCCCAATTCTAAAGGTTCAACTAGCATACACTAATTAACTGGAACAAATGACCATACTTCCAGACATACAGGTCTCACCACATTAACTAGTTTCTGTGTAAATCTTATAGCCTTACAAGGTATTGAAGGCAGTATTTTAGTTAGAGGCTGTTTAATGGTGGAAGTGCTTGATTTGAGCCATTTGATGGTAATGTCATGACTGTAGTTTAATGATTCAGTCAAAAAAAAGTAATTACAAATGTCTTTCTTACAAGTTTATCCCCTCTGCATAAACAATTGGTGGTACGAAACAATCTGTGCAAAAAGCTTCGATGATAAAGCTATTCCCAGGAAGAAAGATCCCTCTTCTTCAAATCATTGGAGATCATACGGAGCCAATGCTTTAGAAATCCCAGCAAAGCCAAGGTATCAAAACATGGGGCAATAGCCACCAGAATCTTCAATTGAGCATCATTTCCATTATCAAATCATTCCAAGAGTCTATAGGCCCAGGCAAGCACCAATGCAAGCAATCATTTTGAACTTTTGCACTTTTATCTTTCCCAGCATATGGCTGGAACATCCTGTATACTCCTGGGTGCCCATCAGGTCTCAACAATGAAAGATGGGTTGTGTCAAATAGCTTAAAAGTCGAGCCTTTTTCGGACCCTATTGCCTCTGCGTTCTCAAATTCTTCCAATTCAATATCACGCATTACTCTGTCCACGTCGCTGATATCAACCTCGCCTTCTTTGAATGGCACTGTTTGATTACAGTAACCCCCTGTGTTCCATTCTCCATTCTCAAAATGATCGGGAGTGCTAGTTCTGAACAATATATGCACCTTGTGATTCGAGTGTGTGACGAAGTTAAAAACCAACTGTAGTGCTTTTCGATATGCATACTCAAAACCTAGCTCTGTTATGTTCTTTTCACAGTTATGGCAGCCCACCATTGTGGTGTTCTCATAGTAGATTGCTGTTTTGAGATACCATTTCCCACCGGCAAGAACTGCATAATCGAAGTTTTTGTATTGTTCTGTCCATACTTCATCAAGTTGGTCAAGATGAAGCTGGATTGTACCAGATGAGACTCCGTTGTTGTCTTCAAAAACAGCAGCTTTAATTAGGAAAGGGGTCCAAATTACTGACACACTGAAGTTGTGGGATGGAAAAGACCATCTTTTCGATCTGTACTCCTCATCGTGGTAGACCTCAACGGCTTTTTCTACCTGCAAAGAAAAATAACCAGAAACTTGATAAATTGCACCACCGAAGTGATTAAATCCATTTGCTAAACAACACAGAACATGATGCTGTGGATTTAAGTACTACAGAATCCATTACAGAGAGCAACATGATATCAGACTTTTATCAGTCCAAGTGTGTCCAAACAAGAACCTTATCAAACATTTTGACTGTCTACCATGGTGTTTTGATATAAGAAATAAATGATAGATTCATTCATATCCCATCACTTACCTACCAAAGGCTTTTAATTCATTATAAAAACAGGACCATGCATACCCTTGTCAGCTCAAAGCACAACTCAAAATCCATAATCATTGTGTCGTTAAGACCAATAACCCACGGCCGTAGAGCCACAGATTTCTTGAAAGATTTGAAGAACTTTAATCGGATAATCTAACTCAGACCACCCCAGTTTGTCTAGTTATACGCATAAGAGTAGTCCCCAATGACCTAGGTGTCGGCCATTTGAAAAAAAATAATAGAACATAAAATTTAAAAAAAAAAAAAAACAGGAAAAAAGAAGTAGAGAAACAACAAAGTAATAGGAGACTTTCATGGCAGCAAAACCATTAAAAATCCATCTACATATTAGGTTAATTTGGTGGAAGGGATGGAATGGGGTCATAGTGACAGTGGCAGCTGTTAAGTTGGTTTTTGGTGGTCAAAATTGAATACAACTAGATTAGTTTGAAGCTTATAATTACCAACCATGAAAGTTATAGCTAAACAATAACCCATACCCTTCTACAAGCTGATTTGGTATGAAATTATATTAGAAGATGACCAATGAACTAATTCAGAAAAGAAGTTTTAACCACAAACGCCATAGCAGCTGTCATCCACTATCATTATTGAAATTGATGGCAGCACAAAATAGTGGACCTTCATGCTCAAGTTTTTATTATGTAGGCCAGGGCTTAGCAAGTAACAAGGACTCTGTCCTGGAAATTAAAACATTTTAAAATTGAATGAAGGTGAAGAGAACTTCTAGCTCATTTAGAGAGAAGCCTCAAATATGACAGGGAAGACAAGCCTATGATTTCCCCACTAATGTAGTGAATAAGTATAGCAGACGTATTAAATCCTCAACCCAGCTGTTCATTTCATGGGGATGAAAACATGGCCGGATAGGATTGCTTTACATTACGAATAGGTTTGAAGGCCAAGTAGTTTAGAGTACACAAGAAACAGCCTGGGCACACACAGGTACTAGCAAACAGCTAACCAACCAAAACAAGGAAAGGGCAGCACAGCCCACGAAACTCCCATCAACCATCAAAGCGGTTTCTAAAATATAGCAGCCTTACTTCTGTAAACGAGAGGTCGTTTTTGCTGATACGTATATTTTGTCGAAAATGGATTTAGAAGTAAACAGAAGAAAATAAAAAGGGAAAGCATAAATATAACCAAGGAAATCAACCATATTTGATGGCCCAAATGTAGAAGTAGATGTGTAATTCTGAAAATTGAAATATACCTCTGAGAGAGTACAAACCAAAGACTGAACTTGATTACGCGAGATTGAATCTCCAATGAAGGCGATGGATTTATCCCTCATGAAATCAAGAAATCTTCCTGGATTAAACTTGGGCAATTCACACTCTCGCGGCTTCCATCTCCAGTAAATATACCCTGAATCAGGCCGCCCATTCCTCATACAATTTTGATGATCTTCGATTGAATGGCAGCTATTGTTAGTATAAAATGGACCAGTTGGATCTGGAACCCACTCTCCAGTAAAGATATCACATTTTTCTGCAACCAAATTATGCTTATGAAATCAGCATTAGTTTCACACAGACCAAGTGATGAAAGATTATAGAGAGCACTATAGGATGAACTAAACTAAGAAGATTTAGGAAACCCAAAAACAAAAACAAAAACAAAAAAAACAAAGAGATTTAGGAGGCACAATTGGATTATCTGAAAACACCACCCACCAAATACTAAAATAAGTAAGCAAATTAGTAATTGATAAACAACAATATCCAAAGCCGACACAGATTTCTGGGCATATTTATGTAGAATAGAATTACATATCATTATTTAGAGGGAGGATTTGGTCCCTAAAACTAATAGTTGACAAGTGCTTCAGTACCTAAAAAGTGAAATAAGTGATAAATAACGAAATTCAGTGATATATTTGCTACTCAGTAATCACACCTCAAGAGAAGAAAAACTAATAAGAGATAGCATTACAACAAAACTAGGCAAAATTTATACAGGAGAAGAAAAAAGAAAGAGATCCCAATTGTCTAACGTCATGTTTGATTTCGAAAAACCTGAAAAATGATGATTCGCATACCAATACTTCTGAGAATGAATTAAGAACAGAAACCCAAAAACAAATAGAAGCATGATCTCATAGGGATTTGAGTTCATTCATTTTGTCATTAATGCTTGGCTTCAATAACACAGAGAGAGAAGAGGAGATAGAATTTACTAACCATTGTGATATGTTTGGCTCTCATTCACCGGAAGATCGCCGGGAATTGGCGGGTTACCCACCGGAGGTGACAATGTATCTTCCGCAACAAAAGCTGTGTCAGTGTCCACAACAGGCGAAGAATCTATAGAAGTGGAGAAAAACAGGCGATAAGAAAGACCCAGTAAGAGAAAACACACTCCAAATTTCACAAAAACATGGTTGTGTTTGTGGCCAAACGAAAATGGGTTGCTAATGTTGTTGTTCATTTGTTTCATTATATTCGATTCACTGAGACCTTCAAATTTTATTTATTAAAGTCTCTGAAACACAAAGAAGAAGGTGAAACTTAGAGCAGAAGTAGCTGAGTTTCCGCAACCACCAAGAAGGTCTGTTATGGTGTGTTTGGTCGGAGGAGTAATCCAGACCCTCTGAGTAATCGTTCAGATCCTGAAATATACGCGTATTTAGACCTTTTTTATAAATATATTAATTAATAAATTATATTTAGACCACCATAAAATTTATAGGTATAAAATACTTAGACCTCTTAAGTTTGAAATATTATACTTATACCAAAAATACTTCAATCAAATATTTTAAATTTTATAACTAAAATTCATATTCTATTGTATCATTTATTGAAATAAAATTAAAAAAAAAATTTAATTTTTTTCTTAAAAAATCATAATTAGTATAATTATACTATCTATTAGAATAGAATTAAAAAAATCAAACAAGGGGTCTAAGTCATTCATAATAGAACATGAATTTTACATTCAAAATTCTTGTTGTATTATGTCATTTATTGAAATAAAATCAAAATAAAAATCTAATTTTTTAAAAAAAATCATAGTTAGTATATAATTATATTATCTATTAGAATAAAACTAAAAAATTAAACAATGAGTCAAATTGTAACGTACACAATATATTTTAGCTTTAATTGTGGTAGTTTGATATTTTAATTTAGTTGTTTAAACGATCAAATTAAATGTAAATAGACAACATAATTGTACACTAATTACCTTTTTTTTTAAAAAAATTAAATTTTAATTTTAATTTTATTTCAATAAATAATACAATAGAACATGAATTTTGATTGTAAAATTGAAAATATTTGATATTTTATTTTTCATTGGAGTATTTTTGGTCTAAATATAATATTTTAAATTTAAAGGGTTTAAGTATTATATACTTATAAATTTTAAGGGATTTAAGTATAATTTATTAACTGACAGGAGTCTAAGTGTTACAGCGTACAAACCTTAGGGAGTCTGAGTGTAATATTTTAAAATATTAAGGGGTCTGAGTAATTATGTGACAAACTTCAGGAGGTCTAGATGTAATTTTTCCTATATTTTTTAAAATCCCTTTTAGGATAAAAAATTAAAAGGATAAAAAATATATAAATAAATAATTATATTTTTTCATTTATATTTATATTTATATATATATATATATAATAAATAAATTTGATATATTTTAACATAGATAATTAATTTTTTCATCTATTCTTTTTTTAATTTTGGAGTGTTTGATTTTAGTGAATTTAAAAAAAATTAATTTATCCATTTTTTTATCTTATTTTCTTTCTTTACCAAATATGATATTTTATTTATTCCTTCAATTTTTCATTATATTATTTTTTATCGTACCAAATAAAGTATTAGAATAAGAATAATATTAGGTTTGATTATTAAGTGAAGAATGGGAGTTAATGACAATAACGATGGGGTGGTTGTAAGTTGTAACAACATTTATTGAAGATGTAATAAATATTCGTTACAATAAATGTCACAAAAAAAAAATATGGGAGAAGTCCCTTAAATCATTTCATTTCTCCCTTCTTAACTCTCCTTGAAAGCTCTCAAATAAAGTTGTTAATCGAACTGAACTACTTGGGTTCGGACTCAACTCAAGCTTGACTTCCAACTGGCTAGGAATGATGATAAATTTTTAAACGAATCGAGTTTGAATAATTTTTTTTCAAACTCGGCTCATTTTCTAAATAAATCAAGCTTAAATAATTTTTTAAACTCATTTAAAAAAACGAACTCAACAGACTCAAACTTAAACTCGCAACCCTATTCCCAAACAACCCTCAAATCCTTACATCTAATACATGTATTCCTAAGAAGTGTTTTGCAAAACTTATGGGTCAGGTTTGAAATTTTTTACTTTTTGTGCTTTTGGGTGATTGGAATGTGTGGTACTCCCGCAGTGGATAAAAGATTTTGTGCTCTGGTATGTTCTCTGTACTCTATCTATTTGTTTTTTAGCTGAAAAGAAATATAGATAGGTTGGTGCACATGCCTTGCTATGGTTGCTGTATTGCCACCCTCACTCCTTTTTTTTTTTTTTTTTTTTTTTGGGGGGGGGGGGGTATATTAGGCATCATCTCAACCACTATTCTTTAAATTTTTAATCTCAATTCAAATTTCAAATGTATTTAATTCGTCGCTAATCACTTACATCCATCAAACTTGAATTTTACGTGATGAAAAAGATTTAGATTTCAAGACACACAAGTTTACATCTCAAAAAAATAGTTTATTGTTACCATTTTATTATCGGATCTTCATGGACAACAATAGGTTATACCTAGATTAGTTGGCTCTCTTTGACTTACCCTTTTCTCTTGATGAGAGAAGTTCAACGAATGTGATGCAACGCATTGCACCTCATTAAGATCATATTGACATACTCTTCCAAACTAGAAAGAGTAGACGTCAATAAAAACAAGGTTGAGATACGACAAAGTCATTTTTATCCATCACCCTATTAATTCCAGAGCGGTATATGGACGATACCGCTCAAATAACTCCTAGCCAGCAAAGAGTTAGTTTTCCTCTACAAAGAATGAAAGTGTCGATGAATTTGTTTTTTCTTTTCAGCAATAAACAGTGGTCACTAGGCAGTGTTTGGGTAAATAATATATGTTAAATGGGCACAGCTAGAACTGATGACTATTTTTTAGTACCACATAATCAAGGCCGTACATATCTATCTCTTTGTCTTCTTGGTAAAGCAAGCCCCATCTTTTGTTTATTAATAATTATTAAAAACTATATACTTGTTTGGCCTTTCTTAAACCAGTAGATTTAACTCTAATGAGTAATTTAATCGATAATAAGAATAAATTGTAAATTCAGACGTTTTGATTTTTTATTTTGATAATCTTTTAAAGTTAGATAATTAAAGATTCATCCTTCATGAATATTCTAATTCCGGTATATATGGTCTGACTTTGGTCGAATAGAAAGAGTATTAGTTGAAGTGCGCATAAATTCACTCAAACACTGTTGGCCCTTAGGGGATAAAAAAAAGACTTAGTCCCACAACAAAAGAAAGGACCCCAAAAATTATTGTGAGCCTTGTGTCTTTATCAATGGAACAACTTTTTCTTTTGTCATGGGGAATGTTCAAATTTCTTAACTAGGTATGCTCGAAATTAAATAATTATAACAATTAAAGAGGGAAGAACAATACTTTACCACCGGATTTTTCACGGATCAAATTCATATCAAATTTTAAATCTGAATTTGATTTAAATATTCGATAAATTTCTTTTTTATTGTACTTGGATATATGCAATCAAAAATTTAGATCCAATTTAAATAAATCAATTAAGTTTATTTAAAAAAAACAAATGAAAAAACTTCGTAATTTGAAGAAAAACACATATCCCACTTCCAAAATGAATTTTTTATGAGGTGCAAGGACAAACTTGAAAGGTATTAGGTCATTGTAGAAGTACTCTCAAGGGTCTCTCTTTGCGTGTGCATAGATTTGGCAAAAGCTACCAACTTTAATAAAGAATAAAGTTATCCTTCGCCTTAGTCCAAGAAATTAATCATTTGTAGCTGAGAATTAAGACGCTTTCTTTTTTTTAATGGTGATGAAGAAGGCAACGTGGCTAGTTTACATATAGTTATTCGCTTATACATCACAGACAGAGACACACACACACACACATATATATATAGAGAGAGAGAGAGAGAGTCATGGAACGATCAAGTGTTGATTAGTTGTTTTACATATTGGCATCAATCTTTGTGATTGGAGTACACAAGCACATGCTTGTGGCCTTTATTTCCTTTTCACTTTGATTGGCAAGTAGGCAACCAAATTGACATGGCCCCACCATGTCCAGAAGAATAATGCTCAGAAAGGAGTGAGCCCGCACTTGAGGCCCACTTTGGTATGAATATAGTGGGCTTGTGGGCCTATTTTGTCAATATTTTAAGGGCCCATTTGCATGTCTTCGATCTTCTGTACCAGATAGACCAATGATTGAATTGGCCCTTCCCACTTACATCCTTTCCTGCACAGAGTTTTCTTTTTTTTTTTTTTGCATGGAATTACTCTTTCGTTGTAACATTATATCACTAGTTTTGAATCTTTTGATGTAAAGATGTTCTACTCTATATAAAAGGGTAGAAAAGATGTTCTATTCTATATAAAAAGGCATACCCAGTAAGTCTCACGTCATTGCGGGTCAGAAAAGGATTAGATGTAAGCAACTTTCTTATCCTATAAGCAGAGAACCTGTCTTCGCGACTCGAACTCATGACCTCCATATCATAATAGAACCACCTTACCATTGCACCAAGGCCCACCCTCATGTTCTACTCTATATATACCAGACTAAATTTATAAAATCATTCAGGGCTACCAATAAAAAAGATATAAAATTCATTGAGTTATGGTTCCCAGCCCACAAGCCAAATGTTAGCTACAGGTTGATCTGCCTAGAGCTTGCTTATTCATTTTTGTTTCCTGGAGAAAACTTAGAAATTAAACCACTTGCCACTTAGAAAGTATACAGCAAGACAAATAATCACATTGAAAATTGCATAAATGAATTTTTGACAAGCAAAACAGTATTATAAAACATAAAACTTCCAAGATTATGAAACAAATCGGACCCATTGAGGAGATCAATAATCGGACATGGTCTTGCAATTCATGTATAGTAATGCAAGAAGAGGTAAAATCATCAAGACAGTTTGGACTGTGTAGTTCAATACCTTGGCAGCACATCTTCAAGTTCTTTTCCAAAACAGAAGCATTGACAGAAGCTCGTACCCCTTACAATGTCATCACTTCAAGTTCAAGCAGCCACTCTTGGTTTCATGCCAAATCCATGCTTCATTTTCTCAACTCTGTCCAAAATTTCAAGGAAAGGAGGACAATAAAATGATGCTGAAAATTTGAAGGAAGTTCATAATTTGAATAAGCAGCGACGTATGTTCAGGAAAGGAGTTAAGGGAAGGCTACGCCACGGCCACATGTCTCATAATAAGCAAGCCATTCAGCCATATGACACAGATTAGCTTCAAGACACCTTAGCAGATAGATGAGTTTATAATATGGACATAGAATCAAGTGTTTCCAGCATTACGACATATCCTTCAAACACATGTGACTTGAGGCACCAGACTCAGTTTTTCATCAACAGATAGAGATATGATTTTCAGATGGGCAGCAGTCACTAAATCATCTGTGCTGACATGCTTTGAAAAAGATGTCTATTTATCGAGCTAAAAAAGTTATCAATATTATACAACATTAACAACTAAAACTCATGTGGAGACTCCTCAGCCCAAGAATAATCTCTCAAATTCACATCAAGAGTGAGCCAGGTTTAACCAGAATGCTATGCTTACATAAAAGACTACCCCTGTTCCCGGCACCTTTTTTAGTTCTCCTTCAGCTGATCCCTCACTGCTTTCACATTCCATTCCAATTCTAGTCTAAACCACTACGCAAGACCGAAAAAAAGAAGAATAAAACCCTCATTGATTCTATTTGGACCGATAAAATCGGTCATGCATGCTAGTATTTGAAGTTGTTTTGATTATCTCAGCAAAACAGGATTGGCGGGAACTAATTCAGGCAGTTAAATGTTTGATTAAATAAACCTCATTCAAAGAATTATGGCTTACGTGGGGGCAAGCTTGCCAAGGCTTGCTAACTCTTCACCAGAATCCTCATCCAGGACTCTTCCGGAAATCTCAATAATATAAGATCTATCTCTTTCAGTCGGGAGCCCTCTACGTCCAAGCAAATTCAAATCCTTTATGTGAAGCTCTCTTCCATTCACAAAAATACCAGTATTTCCACCAGCACAATTCTCAGGCATGGGGTAATTAAATTCTTCAATAAATGGCTGCAAGAAATGACATTTTTTCGATTATCACTGGCAGTACAAGTTATCACTAAAGATGAGAGCACTAATATGCCTCCATTGAAATTAGTTGATCTTACAGGAACTATGCCAAGACAAGGCCCGCCCATCACACCCCAGAATCCAGCTCTCGAATCATACCTGGTAAAGGCAGATTGAGAAAATAAGAACAATTAGGACTTAAAGTGAACATACAATCCTCGGGGGAGTATAGCTGCAGCTTATAGTAAACAATCTGTAACACACATTTTAAAAAGTAAAGAAAAAAAGGAACCTTCATGCTTCCATGTAGACTCTAATATGGACTTAGAAAGTATTTAAAAAGTAAACTTCATAATTACAATTATTGATTTCCCAGTGATCCCAGCATTGCTCTATTAAAAAATTAAGCGGGCAAAGTGTACAATGGTTTCCAGTTATACAGTTAGGACTTGAGATTGATTGATTTATGCATCCATACGTCCAAATTTTGTTTAACAAGAAAAACTTATGAAACGGCATATAGTAGTTTGGCCAATTATCTTTTTCTCCTAGCTGGGATGGAATAGGTGAGTAACAACTGCCCTATCTCTAAAAGGGAGTTTGGAACCCAAGCTTGCTTGATCAAAAAGGTCAGAAGTGGATCTCCCAGTTCCAAATGTGGATTTAGTTTTGTTAAGTGCCAAGGTCATTAAATTGTCTAATCAAAAACCTATCATGGGACTGGATTGGATGTGCTGTCAAGTTTTTTGGCAAGCCAATCATTTGTGCGTAGCAATTAATAATGAATCCACCGCAATTTTTCCTCTGATGAAGTACAGTACCCATTACATGTCAAAACCAGAGTTGACCATGATGTGCCCTTGTGGTGTCATATAAGTGGGAGAATACCAGCATGCCAAATGCATACAGGCAACGAACGCATGTTTGTAGTATGACAAATAATCATATGATCAAGAGATCTCAAGCATGCACATTAAAAAGGGAATATGCCTGATCTGCGTCGTTGCATATATGTGCACTTACCAGTATTGTCCAGAATGGATTTGTCCAGCTAGCTTTTCAGCCTTCTTAATCAACCGATCTGGTATAAGATACCCATTGACTATAACATGGGTACTTTCCTGCTCAACAGTTTGACTAGACTTAGAGGAGTCCTTAAAGCTCCTCTTGATAATGCCTGCAAAGAACGATTCAGCTCCTTTGTTGGCTCTCAGTTGATCTTCTCCTCTGCTCCCGTCACTTGAATCTTGAGATGTCCCAGTATTGGAGTACTCATTAGACGATATTTCAATCTCAGTTACAAGTGTTGCATCTTTCATAGTATTTTGACATGAAGTTGTCTTCCTCATCATCATCTTCTCCTGTGCTGAGCGTCTGTCTCTATTTCCCTTTCCAAATTGGGGGTAGTTGGCAGCGTAATCAATGTGAATTTGATGGGGTGAACCTGAAGCAGGTGCAGACGCATTGACTTTGATTGGCAGCTCAGTAGTGTGGGTATTTTTTCTTGCAGCTACCGAACTATCTAGGTCATCCTCATCCTCAGAATCAGAAGAAGATGTAGAATGAAGGCTCTTCATTTCTACAGACTTATTTGAGCTGATATCCTGACCTGCTGATGATAAAACCGGTTCTCTATCCATTGACTGAAAATCATAACCGCAATTGTCATAATCATCAGAGGAGAAGTTCATGCTAGCTCTATTCACATAACCATGGTTATGTGAATATCCATCTTTCTTTACCACATTAGAGCTATTATCAACCTTTGCAGAAGATTCCTTTCCTACGGCATTAGCAGAAACAAGAAGCCCCTTGTTGGTAACTTCATAATGAATGACTGTAGAGCATGCCCCACATCTCATCTTTTTTTGAATTTTTTCCATAAGAAAAACTTTTTTAGACAGTTGCAGCAATTCAAAGCAATTGTAGCACGTCACAAATGGAGAACCACCAGCTATGGGGTGGCAATGCCTCCGGCCAGTAGCTAGCAACACCCTTGGAGGACGGCGACAAGCAAAACCACCCGCTTCGGAATTAAGATCCTCGGACCATCTTGTATGGGATTGTGGATTGTGAGTGGTTAATGGAGGAGGATTGGCAACTCTATGTTTAAAATCCTGCAGACCAAATGCACCAGGGTGTTCATGACGAGACAACATTGGATTGTTTGGGACATTAGAAAATCTTTTACCATGGAAGCCAGTAGGCATAACAAGTGGAGGAACTTGATGGTGCTTGTTGTAGCAATGGAAACAGGAGCAAGATGGATGGTGGTGGTTTACATCATGTGTGTAGGTTTCAAAAGGATCCATATGGACCATATGATTGTCCCTGTAGTGTCCAGAATAGAATGGGTGAGGTGGCTGTGGTCGGAAAGAACCTGGTGCCTGGAGTTGTGCTCTCCTTAGCATTTGGGACCTAAGAGGATCGTCAAATTGTTGAACAGGATTTGATATATGCATTGAAGGATAAAACTTATGCATAGGCATTTCCTGCTTGCTTATAAAAGGAGATGCTTCAGTGTAAGGACTAACATAAGAAGGTCTTGCAACATTTTCATCAGCCATATGATGTTGCATTGAAACTCTATTCAAACCCAAAGAGCCATCAGGAAACCAATTCTCAGAACCCCTATACAGATCTTGATGAACTATCACCCGGTGTGGATGGACCTCTTCTTTGGGTTTGTCAATTACATCACAAGATCGACTAAGTTGATTCTTCAGCACATCCAACTTCTTCAAGAGCTCTGCTTGATCTTGTTCACCATACTCAACCTTATTAGGCCCATAAGAAGGTCTTGCAACATTTTCCTCAGCCATATGATGTTGCATTGAAGCTCTATTCAATCCCAAAGAGCCATCAGGAAACCAATTCTCAGAACCCCTATAAGGATCTTGATGAACCATCACCCGGTGTAGAGGGACCTCTTCTTTGGGTTTGTCAATTACGTCACAAGATCGACTAAGTTTATTCTTCAGCTCATCCAACTTCTTCAAGAGCTCTGCTTGATCTTGTTCACCATACTCAACCTTATTAGGCCCCCCTTTGTCCTTCCTATTCTTCACTGGCCCTTCATAACCATAACCAGACCCTAACTGGTAATTCAATGGAGCCCCTTCAGAACACTTTGAAGATGAATATCTCACATCTTCTTCATCAATCCTTTCAGCCCTTCGAAGCCCCTCCATTTCACCTCTCTCTCCAATTCTTGAATCCGGCATTCGCCATGATCTTCGTGACACATATAAATTTCCATTTTCTGGTCTCAAACCCTCAAATTCTTTTGCCACTTCAGCATGAACTAATTCACCAATATTTTTATTTCTCTTTAGATCCTCTTCAACAACCCACTTATCACCCCTTATCGTGGAACAATTCCAATATTTCTCAGTTCCATCACGCGAAGCCTCCTTCTTCTCAGCTCTACCTGAATAACTATTTGAATTAACATCATTCTCAGAACCATCCCTCAAAACCTTGCTATTCATCATCCGCTTTTCCAAAGAGTCGAAATTCTCTGATTTCTCAGAAACTTTCTCTGAAACCCCTCCAACCCTTTCTTCATCACCCTCAACATTCGCTGCAAATTAAACAAAAAGACAAACTCCCATTTTACAGCATTTCCAATATGCCAAAGAAATTGTCATCCTCGTACGATAAACGAAAATGTGCAGGAAACGAAAATGGAAATATAATGTTAGAATATCAAGTCCTCAATCTTATTCCAGTGTTTAGGATTCAACGAAAAAAGACAACTAATAACCAAAATAAACCAGAGATACATCAAAAAGCGCAAAATATAACGTAATAGGACTGCAATTTTCTGATCTCTTGTAGATTTTCGCGGGAAACAAACAGAAAATAGCAAAATAGAAAATAATGGAAGGAAAATGTACCTCGAAGAACAGCACCACAAGCACCACACTGATAAACAGAGTAATCAGTGACCTCTGGAAGGAGGTTTTCGCATTTTGGGCAACGAACCAAACGAACTTGCGCTGCTTCAGACATTGTAGATGACCTTCCAGACAAGCTTATCAAACCTAAAAAAATACTATAATTCCACACTATTTATGTAATGTGAAGAGTCCATTGAAATGGAATGAAGGAGAGTCCTCTGGAATAGAAAATAAAACGGCTGAAGAGAAGAGAGAAGGCATTAATTCCACTCAGAAACCTACTAGAAAGACAGAATTTTGTGAAAACAGTACTTAGAACAGAAAAGTCTATTGCTTGGAGACAGAGACAGAAAGTTCTGTCAGAGTTTCTGAAACTCAAAAGCTTTTTCACATTGAAGAAGAAAAATGAGAAGCCTTAAAAGAAGAAGATGGGTAAAAAGGAAACGTGTGCTTTCCATTTGGTTTTTTCAATGCAATTTACATTTTGTATTCATCAAGAAAGGTCAAGTCCACCATTATGAATATTCTAATTTGATCAAGATAACAAAATTAGAAAGAAATTCAAAAAATTATAATTTATATTATTTTTTGAATAAATAAATTTTAATAATTTTTTCATTAAAATTCACTCATTATTCAAGAAATGACATACATTTAGATTTTAACTTTTAGATTTTATTTGAATTATATAACATTTTTTTTTAGTTTTCATATAGATGATCTGACTTTGATTGAAAGGGATTAGTTGACGCCTTTAACTTAATCGAAAAGAGAATTAATCAAAGTGTATATAAACTGATCTAGACATTTGTTATCGTTGATCCAAAAACAAAAAGTTTGGGATTTAACCTCTATAATTTTACTAAAGCCATTAAATCTTTTAAAATTTGGAATTGAATTGAAATTTGATTATTCTATTCTAATCTTTTAGGGTTAATAGCATTTTTGGCTTCTAAATATATATTTTTTTTGTTAATTTTATCATTAATATATCAATTTGGTCTCTAAAGTATTTAATTTGTGTCATTTTGATCTCCACATAGACGCACTGTTAAATTTTTTGTCAAAAGTGACCACGTGTCATTTTTTTAAACTGTATTACGTATCCAATACATGATCATTCTGTCAAAAACTTAACTGTCTGTCTATGTGAGGATCAAAATGACACGAATTGAATATTTTATGAATCAAATTGACAAAATTAATACATTAATGACTAAACTGATAAAAAAAATACATATTTTAGCAATCAATAATACTATTAACCCAATATTCAAAAGTACTAAGTCACAATTGGGAGAGTCTCAACTTGAGCTATCTTAAAACTACTATAATTATTCTATGTGCATCATTCTCTAAAACATTTGGAAGAGGAACGAATAGACATTGAGGAATCCAAACCAACCTTTGCCATTCTGTTTTCTGTTGTGTTATTCAAAAAATAATAAAGAGGTTAGTTAAGTTAATGCAGTGCCAGTTCAGCTACCTGTGCTCTTTAGCATAAACCAGAAGTTGTATAGTAGGTGGAAAGAATCAATAAATATATATAAGTAATAATAATAATAATAATAATCATCTTTGTTTTTGTCTATTCTTCAAGCAATGGTGCAATTGATAATTCCATTTAATTACTTGATTTAAACTATTTAAACGATGATCAGATTCGAACCATAACATCCACTTCTTAACAGTCACAACTAAATTAAAGTATCAGTCACCATTTTTGTGTATCATGGTTGGTAAAATAGGATGATAAAGAAGGTTAATTGAGTAATTTTTCAAAGAACCAAGCCAATGATGTTTAGTAGGTCTTTTCGAATAATTCGCAATACTGGAATTGAGACACAGCTCAAACTCCCAAAGTAAACAGCTGTGGAGAATCTTGGACAATAACCAAAAGTTCGATCCAGCAATCTCGCATGAATGTAGAAGGACAATGTCGCTGGTAAAGTTCTTTCGTCTTTAGCGGGTCAAACAAAACAAGGGGCTTTTCTATAGTTTTATTTGATGGAATTCGGAGCTTAAAGTCGTTGGGAGGTACAAATAGTGCTCTCAATTCATGTTTTCGGCTGATTTCCACAACTGAACCATTAAGGATTAAGCGTCTAAGCCAGGTCTGCCCTTTCCCAAAGAGGCCCAAAATTTTTAAGTAACGGGTTGAACCCAAAAGAGTTTGCCCCATTTATTCAAAAGTGAATGCTACCCTAAATAAAAATAGGCCACATATGATCTCAAAGCTCAACCACTTGGGTCCAATATTGTGCCTATCATGGGTCTCCAATGAGTCCATAGGCCGGGTTTTTTCACACGGGTTCTAGTTGATTTTTTAAAAGTGAGTATGTTAAGTTCAACTAACATACATTTTTTATTGGACTGACCATGAACCAGAAACGAACAATTATTCATTGATGCATGTAAGTTTACGTTAATGCACATTCAATAACATGTGGAAAAGGATACTTGGGAGGAGTAATTAACTTAAATCTCCCGCACAAAAAGGTAATATAATAAGTAAATCTAAACATAACACGATTTATATGAGCAAATCTCAGTGTATATAAGACTTTATGCAAGAATTCATTCGTAAAAATCAAGAGGATGTTATAAACATGAAGAAGTAACAATGTTTTTTTTTTTGGGTAATTTAAGTACAAATGTTTTGACTTTAAAGATTAAAAACTATGAAATACTAAGGAAAACAATAACAACTAGATAGATTGTAATCATTGTACCTTGTACACAATAAAATTAAGAACAAGAGGCATTCATATACCTACTGCTCTGTTCTATTCATCTCCATAACTATTTCCTCCATGAACCAATCCTGTTATAAATCTTATAAACCCCAGTTTTCAGCTTCTTGGGCTTGTCTTTTCTCTCTCCATCCCTCCTCTTCCACACATTCTTCTCCACAAAGTCTGCCAAGAAGGCCACCACAGAAGACCCTGTGACCTTTTTCGAGGACGACGGAACCACCATTGATGCCTGGGAAAATTGGCTTGTCAGATGTCTTGATCCTCCAAGGGATGGTATGGTCATAAAATGCTTCTCAATGTGATGGGTAAGTGAAACCAGTTCATATGAATCATACAAGGGGCTACCACAGTCCCAAATCTTCATGGTTTCTTCTTCTTCTTCATCTTTTCTTTCATGGGACTCTTCTGTTCTTTTCATCTGGGTGGTGGAGTTTCTTGGAGTCTCAGGTTGAGATTGAAGAGAGTTTTGTGCAGAGATTGACATTTTTTATGAGGCCAAACACAGATTCTCCAAATTTAAGATGGTCATATCATGTAACATGGCACCTGTCTTTTCATTTAATTAGCCACACTTCTAAGTCAGGAAATTAATAGCTTAGAATTCCTAAAATGCCCATCATTTTGAAGGGTTGAACCTATCTTTCTAGGGGACAAAATTGTCCTTTCACCGACGGATGAGTGTCCCCATACATTAAATCTGAGTTATTTGCCAAATCAGAGTCAAATGTTTGTTGAAGAAAATGACTGACTCTCCCATTTATTATTAATTGCCGTAATAGAAAATGTGAGAATGATTAGCTCTACACTCATTAACTACACCCATCAAAACCAGAATCTGCACATGAAAAACTGTTAAATTAATAACTATTTCTGTGGAAGAAAATTATTAGCTATGAATATCCCCAGATTACATAAACTCCCTTTCAATTTTTTTACAAAAATTTGAAAGGTTGCCTCGACAGTAAAATCTTGGATTTGTCCTTGCGATCGTTTGTTGTGTGGTACAAGTTACCTAGAATAGTTTCATGAACTTCAAGATTGACATAAATGCCGATTACGGTGAAATTGTAACACAAATTTGGATCCTACCTAATACACTTTCTCTCAAGTTTTTCTTTTGTCATGAATTCACATAGGGCACCTTACATCATACATGAGTCTCTGATTAATGTACAATGTATAATTGATTAAGAAAAAGCTGAAAAAAAGTGTATTACAAAGGATTTCGATCCATTTTAAGCTTTGATCACCTAAAGTCATTGTGCATTAAGGTGGGATTGAGATCTTCTTTATTACTTTTTTGCACAATTTCACTCATTAGTAGATCGTTCACCAGATATTCACGTGAGACTCATTTTTATATGTAGACTCCTCACCTATATACGGTGAGTGATCTACTATTGAGTGAAATTATGTCAAAAAATAATAAAGAGAATCTAGATCTAACGTAGCGTGGATGGTAAGGTTAAAATGAATTTGCACCGGAGGAAGCAATTAAGTCAACCATAAATATCCGAACCTAACCGAGAAATTGCATCAGGCTTAAATTGAAGATTTTGTACTAAGCTACTTGGTCATATTTGGCATGTTTGTACCCCCAACTGGGAAAAGCATAAAAACGGACGCATACAATGGGCTAGAGATAAAAACTGGTAATGGGAAACAAACAATCACCCCCCAATAACAAGTTAGATTTTCTTTTTTTTTTTCGATCAATTTATGTACATTTTAATTAATTCTTTCTCAATCTTGTCAAAGACAGGTTATCCACGCATGAGTGTTCTGATCAGTTTATGTGCATCTCAATTAATCTCTCTTAATCTAGTCAGAGAGAGATTACTCACGTCAAAATTAGAGTATTTATGAAAAATAAAATCTATCGCGACATGCCCTCAATGGGGTTGTTAACTCCTCCCAGCTACCACTCTAACTATCCCTTGGAGTTATCAAGACCTTTTATTTGTTTATACAATATCATAACATATACATATCTATGATAGTCTTAAATATCAATATTACCCTTTTAACCTAATAGAAATGATAAATGAAATGTTTCTCGATAACAACCTTTGATTGGAAACATTTGTGTTATATTTAAAAGAAAAATATTATTTAGACCTAATCTAGAGACCTAATTTAATATAATTATTAGATTAGTTATAGATTTTATCTAACATTAAAGCTCATAATTAATCTAATAATTATATTAAAGTCACGTCATTAAGTTCTCAAATAAAATCTTTATAACGTTACTCTATTTGAAAACCATCATTGTATGTCCGGATAATAAAACCAAAATGTTATGTGGGGTCATTATTGTAAATCCATATAGATTTGTTGGGCCAATCCAAATGCCCAATCTTCCGAGAATTAGGAATGGGCTAAGAGAAGTAGGCCCAAATACCAGCCTAGACTCCAGACCACCCTCTTGACTAACTTTTCTGGGATGGCCCGGCCCATGCCACCCCTAAGAATGATGTCACACCCGTGTGCCCTGTCAGACTCTAGATTCAATTAGCGGAGAACGACGTGGTTCTTATCAATATTTCGGTTGTTTCAACGTCACCAAGCACCAGCACACCGTTTATACGGATATAAAGGTCACACTCACACACTTAGATAATCGTTAGCCTATCGGTTCGTTTGAATAGTTGATTAAGGTGGGTTAAGAGTCGTAAGTAAGGATAGCATGGGTTATCGTTTGGCAACTGAAAAATAAAAGAGGTTATGAATCTCGGGTCAAACCATGACCCGGATGTTACAGTAAAAATTAGCCAATATACATGGGTTAACTGTAACCCACCCACTCCCTAGGTTATAATCCCACGCACCAGGTTAACCAGATAAAAAGACAGGCTTACCCTTCCTCTTTTTCAGATATTTTGCTACACCCTACCGAAGGATCCTTCACTTTTGTCCAAGCAGGTCACACAGGCGATCGTCGATTGCAATCGAGGTGAGCTTCTTCTTATCGGCTCTCTGCATATCTACCTCTCTTCACTCTCATGGACTCTCTCTCAGTACGAGCAAAGAATTGGTCCAAAACCACCTGCATTCCTGCATTTCAGGTTCACCCACAAACTCTAATTCCGAGTCCAATGAAAATCCTAAAACTGCCGATTTCTGGGTTCGCCGCGAACGGAATAACGATCATTTAAATTTACACTGCTCCAATGCCAGCAACAACAGCAACAATAATCACAGAAAATTGAAAGTTTTTTATCGTTCTTTGTCTCTTGTTCAGCCAAATGGTCCTATTGAAATTCCTCATTTGGGTGGTGTTTCTACCCTTGTCCAAAGATGGAGAGGTTTTGAGGCTGAGGCAAAGAGCTTGAATTCAAACAATTCACCTATTTGCAACAGCAAAAGCTATTCTGGGTCGACTTTTTCAGAAAATAATGCTTCATCATCATTTGTTGAAGTGCCACAAAGAAACTCTGATGCCTGTGAGTTTGTTGATGGAAGATATGAAACTCCAACTTTGAATGAGGACTCATTTGCTGATTGGGAATCTGATAGGGCAGCTATGAGCGGTCCACCTTCTTGAACATGAATCAAATAAACCAACTCAGGGATCTTCCATCATGCATCAGGTAAAAATTCCTTTCCTATTTTCCTACACATCATATTACTATTTACTATACATGGATTGTTTGCAACTGTATTGTTTGAGGTTTCTGATTAGTGAGACTACTCACAATGTCAATTTTTTTGGTGAGTGTGGCGTGTCGTACGTGGAACTCAAATAAGAATGTCGTATGTTGCTTAATTTTCAAAGCGATACAATGAGGAGATACTCATTGGGGTCGCTCAAGCACAACATGCACCATATATAATGCATTCAGTATTTGCAACATATCCATTGACTCTCCATTTTGAAGTTCATTTAACTGCTACATTTCGTGCTTAGTTTATGCAATATTATCCTGAGTTATATTGTACCTTGTTTTTATACCCAAAAGTTTTAATATTTTTAATTGAAATTGTCAATCCTTTGTGTAAGTGTTTGTGTTTGAGCACCAATATATGTGTTCAAACTAAAGATACCTTCACATGAGGAAACTATAAAATGTAATGATTGCAGTGCACTTGTTTTATGAAGAAATTTAAGGTGAATAAACACTCAGGACCCAGGGCATTAGAATTTAGTATTCTTTTGGTGATTCTAAGAAGCCTTGAATTTATTACCCTTCAATGTAGCTTCTGTTGTTCTTGGGTAATCAAAATTTACCTTCTAGAGTTTACAAAAGTAGAATTGATTTAACTTGGCTTTCCTTCATCAAGTTTACTGGTGAAATTATATATTTCTTCATTTCAAAATGGGTTTGTCTTCATGCAAGTTTATCCACTTGGCATTGCTATCACACCATTGAAGCAACATGGTGGCCTGGTATACATATTTGATTCTAATGTATTTTGACATATACCTTGATTTTGTACATGATTTTTTGGGTTGACTGGAATAATATGGACTGTCAATTTTTTCAGTTTGTTTATGTTATCCCCTAGTAAAAATGGTTGGTCTAATTTCCCATTGGCAATGAGTTTGAATTGTTGGGAACGGTCTTGGTTTAATGGTTTCCTTTTCATTCGTTTGCCATGTTCTTAATTTGTGCTCAAGGTTGTATTTGATTGAATTTGATTCTCAAGTATTAGTTCAAATGGTTTTGGGGAAGAGCATGGTTCCTTGGAGACTGAAAAGCATTATATATCTCTTTGTGGAAACTGGTAATATTTTCATTTCCCATTAGCTCTGATTGTTCATCTTTGAACCATTCTAATTCTGTGGAACAAACCCATCATTTAGTTTGTAAATTCTTTTGTTGTCTTGCTGGTATGTGGTTTGATCATTAAGAAAAAGGTTTACCTCATTGGCTTTACTGGAACCTGACTTACCAACCCCTCTCGACTGTGTAAAGAAGTTTGTTGTTTGCTGAAATGGGTATACTGGAGTTTTGGGTGATCTTGATTGCTCTTGGCTTTTGTTTACTAGCTCAAGTTCTGAATTCTCAGAACTTCACGTGCATTTCAAATGACTTGAAGGCATTGAGGGATTTCGTGAGTGCTGTGGAATCACCTATTGGTGGGTGGGACACTGATTCATCTTCCAATTGCTGCAATTGGGTTGGGATCACATGCAAGTCTTCATCTTCTCTTGGACTAAATGACCCACTCAACTCCAGCAGGGTTGTTCATGTGGAGCTTGGACAGGGAAGACTAAGGAGCAGATCTGGAAGCTGCTTGGCAGATTGCAGTATCAGCTGAGGCATATATATAGGGAGGCGAATGTGATCGCTGATTTTCTTGCCTCATTTGCTGTCCAAACTGAAACAGATACTGATTTTTCAGCAAATGGCATTCTGCCATTGTCTGGCAGGCTGCTTCTGTGAGGAGACTAAGATACAGGAATATAGTGTAAAATAGTTTTAAGCCATTTCTTGTATTTTTTTCAGAACAGTTTGTTCTTTGGTTGCTTTATCATATTGTTTTAAGGCAAGGTTGTTTGTCTTTCTCCCATTGTAATTAATTTTTAAGAAATGAAATAAAGTGTTGATTTGTTTGAAAAAAAAATACCAAAACAAATATATATATTTAACTTTCTTTCCTTATTTTTATATGTTTTTATGTATATGTGAAAAATGTATAATTTTATTAGGTTTGGATGGGTTAACCAAACATAGGATAAGATTGATTTGGATCGGAATGAATAGAGTCATGAGTAGAATGAAAAACTACTACAAAATTATTTGTGTAATCTATGGGATCCACCGAATTATACATTTGTTTCCCAAACAAATGTTAGAATTAGATATAACCTTAGGTTAGGGTTTTAAAGTGGATGAGTAGGTTTGGATTGGATTGGTTAGGATATAAAAAAAAAATCTTATCCTATCCAACTCCATTACCCAAACACCCCATATAAGGATTTCTCTAGTGGGTCCTGAATTAAGAGTAGTCTACGCTATTGAATTTTTTTTTAAATAAATTAAAACTTAGTGTCTATATTTTGGTGCGTAAATTAATTTTAGTTCTATCGAATTTTTAATAAAAAAAAATATTTAATTTTTGGAGAAACTTAAATGTGGTCCTTGAGTTGGGGCGAATATTAAGAAATTTATTAGTTACTGATTTTTATTATTTATTTTGCCCTCATCACATGATTTTCAATTTAAAATATAGTTAATTTCTTCTCTTTTTTTTTGAGTTTGCTATTGAAGTTTTTGTTATGTTGTTTATTAGTTTTGAAGACATTTGACGATCTACGTTTATGGAGAAGAATGTATATTAACGATTTGTATTTTAGTGTATTAGTCTGACGATCTGTATTTTAGTGTACTTGTCTGATGATTATTGCATACCTTTTTATTTTTTATTACGTACCTATTATTTTTTTATTATGTACCTATTATTTTTTGACTCGAAGATATACTTTTTTAATTACGTTTTTTAGTATACTTGTCTTCCGATTTCTGTTTATAAAAAAAGTACATTATGATGACGTAATTTTTTTAAAATAGGTGTTTAAATTAAATGATGATATTGTCATTATTTTTTACACTTGTAAAGGGTATTAGTTACATCAATTATTTTGATTTTTCAATAAGGACCTAATTCAAAAGAAAATTAAAAAGTGAATTTTTTTTTAAATTCTATTGCGCCCAGTGACCGGCCTCCAAATCTCTCTTTTTCTATTTTTTTTTGATATCGTATCCGTATTTGTAAATTTTGTGAGATTTTTTTTTTCATTTTTTTTTATATCGGCCTAGTGACCCCCCCCCCCCCCTAACCCCACACACACACACACAGCGATTTTGGTTTGGTTTTGCTTGCGATTTTGATTAATTTTTTGGTTCGTTTCTATTTTGGTTTGATTTTGATTTTGATTTTTTGTTTGGTTGGTTCAATTCCAATTTCGATTCTGGCTTCCTATTTTGCTTTTGGGTTTTGTGGCGGTGATTTATGTACAAAATGGCAAGGGAATGGTGGTGGTGGCTGAAATTGGGTTTGGCTTGGTGGTTATGCTGTACAAGGAGAAAAAGAGAGAGAGAGAGGGGTGGAGGTAGCAGAAATGTTGTGTTTGCCGGGGAAGAAAGAAGGAGATAAGTGGGGGTATTAAAGTTATTTTAATCTTTCCCATGTTAGGATTGCATTTTAGTCCACAAATCACGCAAGAGTTATGTGGAGGTTTTTAAATATTAGAGAAGTATAAGGGGATAAAGTGAATTTTGTCCTATAATTTTGGTGGATCACTACCTTATAAGTTGTAAATTTTTTTTGTTCTAAACAAACCTCAAAACTCATATTTCGACTCACAAAAATTGTAAGTTTTGGCAGCATGATACCTGAAATGTAGTGTTCTCCTTGAAATATGAAGAGCAAAGACCATTTTTTTTTCTTGATCGTTCTAAGCCAAATGATGTGCGATTAATTTGAAACAAATCATAAATTTGAAGGTAATAACTCCCCAATCTAACCAATACCTATGGTTATCGGGTAATTACAAATATCCGCCTAATCAATCCCTATTGTTATCGGATAATTACAAATATCCACCCCAGGCTTTTCTTATTGGCTGGATAAAATCCCAGTTAGGCCATGATTTTTGGAGCATACTTCATGTCATATCTCACAACGGCAGGAAAAACCTGAAGAATTGTACCAAACTGAAATATATTATTCATAGTCACTAGCCAAAACAGACCTAAAACAAACAGACTTGCCTTGCCATTTGAAATGATCAAACAAGATTTTCCTATATTTCAACTAAAAGCTGTGCTAAAGTAGCTCTTGACAACATTGTTACATAGTATCTGCAAGACTGCACTATTAGTTGGACCAACACACCGCGGCGTTTTGAACTGGCTAACAGCAGCTCCTAATCCTACATAATGGTCTAAAATCTTATGGAAGGTTCCTCTCTTGACAACTCGGAGCTCAAGTTCCCCAATAGCATTGACCTTGCGGGAGCTTACGTAGCCTACATCAACGAAAGAACGATCCAAACAGTTGCAGCATTCCTGCAGAACCTCCTCACTAGCTTTGCCACTGAGCTCCCAGAAGATGACATAGTGGCCAGGATCTGCGGACATATCGACACGACTAGTGAAATCAACAATTTCCAGCTTTTCTTCAGCTAAGAGATTGGCTGCTGCTTCAACAGATAACTGTAAATCTCTCTCTGTGTTCTTGTCAATGTTAATGGTGAGCAGAAGATTTCTTCTGCAAACAAAGCGGAGCTCTGGGGTGGAGTTGTGGAAGCCCATAACCTTAACCACATCCCCTAGCCTATATCGATACAAACCTGCACAACAATTTAAACAGGTTAGAACGTGCAAGTATTGCAACAACACAGTAGTATTTATCAGGTTATTTCCAAGTTGAGCAAAATTATGATGGTATAGGAAGTGAAGTAATCACTGTTTTTGTTCATGTTTTCAAAATACACCCATACTCACCTATCCAAGAAATGGGTCTCCAAGGGCTACAAACACAAGAAGATCAAAAGACTTGACTCTTTTATTTGTGGTGCAACCTTATTATCTAACTTTACTTTGTTCCCCTAATCAATGAGGGCAGTTTCAGTTTGTTTTGATTTTTCTGTTTCACAACAAGATACACATTCCTATCCAAGAAAGGGAACCAAGAGCTTACACCCACTACAACACCAGGAAATGATCTAGCCTTTGAAGGCATCAAAATTTACAATAGGAATCAGGCAATCACGCTAAGTTGGCTATCTTTAGTCTGAAAGCAGATACATTGAAATTCAAGAGTGTAATGCAACAATTTAGAAGTGGATCACATAACAACCTGCCAATAATTTAACAGTCTACTAAAGAGATTCCCTCACCATTGGGAGGGACCCGACATGGCACAAGGTCAGAAGGTGCCATAAGGCTTGAGTTCAAAATGGCGAGAGTCGCCTACCACATGAAATATTCCAACCAGGCAACTTTAAGCATTATTTGACACCAAATGGATATTTAATATAAATGCATCGTTTCAGTCATGGAATATATTTCTAACCATGTGGATTCAATGTTTGCAGGTATGCATAGGTGAATATGTAGGGACATTCTCACATTATATATATTGTATGCAAATGGGTGGTTGTAAAAAAATGTAAAAGACAAGACTAATCCACGTAGTCTTCCATGTTATTAGTGGAATTTAAAATCATTACGAAAGACGGTCTTGTTTTATGCAGTCTAAATAGCCTTTTTCCTGATGACAGATGGATAAATTATTGAAAAGTGCCCCTGGGACATTTACCTAAACCACACTTGTCTTTAATAAGCAACAAGGTTATGCATGTTCCCCATTGTCAATGCCAAGAAAATGCTTCAGCTAACATATACACACATGTATAAAGATGAATGCACAAGTATAATATAATAGCTTAAGAATTCTTTCTGTGGCTTTCACAAAGATATAGCAGATCATAGTTATCTGTTTTCTTCTCATATTAGTGTTTTCATCGATAGTTCTCTGTACAAAACCTATACTGGGCATCTCAAAAGATGTATATGTTTCTACTGCCAGTTATGGCATGAAAGAAGCACAAATGGCTGCTGTAATAGACCAACAACAAGAAGAGCCATCTTCTTCACAGTCACAAGTCATTTTCTCATTACTTTGGTTCTCTCATTTTCTATTTTTATTGGCATTACTATACTGGGATTTCAAAGAGATGGGCCCCATTTTTTAAGCTTCTCATTACCCGCAGGAGTCCCACTGTTGTTAGCAATCAATTTAGCATTCCTAGTCTGCACTAAATTAGAAAATATTAAATGACAATAAATCCATCAACTAACTGGAAGGAAAATTGTATGAAAAGAGTAAATTTCCTAACGACTTAAACAAATAAAAAGCCCAAATAGCAAGAATGTGACTAGAAACTCATAAGTATTATTCAAACTAAAGCCTTAACAACTCACTCTAGAGAACAAATTTGCTTCAATATGTAATTTCGTACATATACAAGAACATAGATAAAAAAATGTAAGCAACTATAATTAAACCTTCAATTATAGTACAGCAATATTATATTATGATTCTTTAATGTAATGGGATGCACATGGTACCAAAAAATAACGTATAGTAAGTGGGCTAACATTGTATTTGTGTTTGTATCTCCCAAGAAATAGTCAACTCTACGCGATGGCAACAGGTCGTCAGAATTAAAGTGATCAGAGTTTCCTATTATAGTGCCACAAACAGAGTAGAGGACATAAAAGATGGCACCTACCCCTGTTTAAGAGCTTCAAATGGGGATCTCATATAAGAAGGCCCACCCAAAATTGTGCCATGATCAAGGCAAATTTATAACTACATTAATTAAATTTTTTTTTTGAAAGCTTGTACCTTGGCCAACTGTTTTTTTCGTATGACCCTTTAGAGAAAAGATCAAAAAAAAAAAACAGTATGGATGAGGAGCGAGGATAGTTGGTCTCCCTCAATGTGACACCCACACACACATTGTGACCATTTAAGGGAAGTCCCTAACAACCACTAAACGGACCACACCAAGGAAGCCTAGATCTATGAAAACCATCACTCAATGTTGCGATCTATTGAATTATGGAGAATGGAAGCAAACCTACAGATTGTGCAGATGCAGGAAGCGAGAATAGTCATCGTGCATTATAAAAAATTCACATCCCTGACACTTAAAAAATCTAGTACCTGCAAAGTTGGTGACCACTATCTCATACTCTTCACCAATTTTGACTTCAGTCAAACCCACTGGCATGGACTCATTTTCCTTTAGCTCCTGACCCTGGCCATTCTCCCTTAAAGGAATAAACTCAAAATAGCCAATATGAGGAAGCACTGCAAAAGTGGCTAACTCAGGAGGCAATTTTGGGTTAAGATTTGCTCCAACCCACCCTTCAGAAGACCCGTAATCTGCACTCAACAGGGGTACCTCTCCAGCATAGTGCCTTAGCTTTTTCAAATAGGGTTCCATTGAACCAGTCATGATCCCATAAATGTACTTCACATTGGGAAATAACTCAGGTATTAGGCCGTACCAACTACTTAATCCCATGCACTTTTTGTGGATCAAATTAGCCAGTTCGGGGTTTGGCTTTAGCAGCTTCGACATAGCTGTCCGGAGAGATGGCACCGTAACCCGGCCAGTTAGGACCCCATCATGGATGTCAGTACAGAGATCTTCCCAAATTTGTTCAAAGGTTCGAAAAGCATGGACAATGCTGTGGGCAAATGCGGAGGAAACAACTTCAACTTCATCCCAATAAATAAGTCCACATAGAAGATGGCAGTATAATGATTGGTGGAAATCAGGGCCAAATATCACTTCATCGGGACTACAACATGGGGTCTGCATTGCTTTCATTGTCTTCTTGTATTGCAAACTACGATACACATTCGTAGTTGCAGTTCCCGCTGCCAGACCCCCTTTTGTTCTGAACTGCTTGCTGCTGTAGATTAAATTCAAGGCTTTGCCATTGCCAATTGGAAATTCTCTGCAGAAAAAAGTTCTTCACATAAGCAGATAACTAACACAGACCATGTAAAAAGACAAAGACATTTGAACGCCAAAATGAAGGAAATGTACATAGGCAGTTCCAAAAAGTACGAGGAAAGAAGGTAGGTGGCATTTTTTGTTTGTCATCCCTTATTATAACACCTGCTTAACTTTCTCTATTCTATCCATTTGCATGTCCAAGAAAAGACCCAAAAGAAATTAGTAGCAATAAAAAAGGTCACTAATCAGCTGTTTAATTTCCACACGAAGATGTGTCAATAGTGAAATCACCTAATCATTCATAACACTAACAATTCAGAAATTCAAGCGAATGTTGTTAGCTAGTGCCTCTCCAAAGAGGAATTAATAAAATTGAATTTCCTCTAGAGGGGGAAAAAGGAGAGAAGAATTTAGGTAGATACGCTAAAGATTGACACCTGCAGCAATTGACAACTCATAACTAGTAAATTTGCTAAACACTGTGAAATAAGTCTGGTGACTCCCTGCAAAAGGACACCCCCAAAAAGGACCAAAAACAATTAAGGAGAATGAATCTTTGTAATAAATATGAGAAAATCATATATGATTTCAATCCAGAAGCTAATGTCTAAGGTAAACATAGGGCAAAAGGACTTTTTCAAGACTATAAAATGGTTTACTGCAATACACAACCATAGAGTACCTGTTTCTAAATGCGAAAGATGTCTTAAATATCTGCATTGTGGATTCTGTCAAATGGTTATTAAAAGGTATAAACTTTGGCTTCCCCTGAGTAGTACCAGAACTGCCAAAAAAACTCGTTAACACTTAGAATATAAAACTCAAAGATAGGAGAAACAAATAAAATGATCTAAAAGTACCTTAATGAGATACATGTTATTGGTGTTCCGGTGAGAATGGGAGAAGAATCACCATCCACAATTCGCTGGATGTAAGGTTCCAAATCCTTGTGAGTGACAAGAGGAATACAAGCCTTGAAACTCACGGGGTCCATTCTTCCATTAATACCCCAATTCTGCAAATACTCTGTCCCTCCATTTTCTTCCAAAATCCTGCGAAGGGTCTCTCGTTGAACTGTCTCAGCATCCTTTGTCAATGCCTCAAATTCTTCAATGACTTCAATGGTGTCGAATTTTTCGTCCATCTTCTCTAACATGGTTACTGACCTTTAACAAATGCACCAATTACAACAAATTCCAAAAAGTATCAGTTTCCCCCAAAGTGAAATGTAATACATAAAGCAATTAAAAAAAAAGTGAAAAATTCCTCAAAAATAAAGTCGGAAAAAGACTATAATATAGTTATATTTTTGTTTTACCCCTGCTTTTGGCAACTTTAATGCAGTTACTTCTCGACAAAACAGAAGTAAGAATGAAAATGAACAAGTCCAATGAAACTGAAATGGAATCTAACTAAGTTCAATGAAACTGAAATGAAATCTGACAAACTATTTCGTCTTTCTGTCGAGTACTTAAAATGCCAACAGAAGCACGCTTTCTCACCTGAGAAAGGAAGTCAATGTTTCATAGGAACCACAAAAAATGAAAAGAATAACGTCACAGAAGATAAGAACCAATTCCGAGACAGAAGTATACAGTATTTTCTCAGTCCCAATTCTAAGGATGAACACTAGGTCTTTCACAGTAATCTACTTAACAATCCCTAAGAGCCGAAACAATAATATAATACCCCTCAATTATAGTAAACAAGCCTTAAGATTTCAAAATTTTAGCCAAATTAAGATCGAGTATAGACATATATACACACGAGACTCACTACCACAAAAGAGTTCTCGAGGAAGGTAGAAATTATAAAATTGAAAAAGAATCACCGATCAAAAGCCTGTGTTAGAGAAAAGGAAAGACAGAAAGATAACAACTTACACAAAGGTCAGATTATTAATTCAAAACCCTCGAGTTCAATATCACAAAATCATACGGTAATTCGCACGAATCCCTAACTCTGATAGTACGCATATACAGAATCCTGTAAAACACATCTGACATCCATATATACACATAGATTACATGGAGAGAGAGAGAGAGATTGACGATTACAATGGACTAGGTAGAGCCTGACTCTGGCAGCGAGACTTTCTATGTGACGATCGGAGAAGGTATCCAACTGGAAGACACTCAGAAGAGCGGATATATATATATATATATAGATAGATAGAGTGGGAGAGAGAGAGAGAGTAATTGAATTATGCAGACTTGGATGCTAGCTTGAGGTCGAAAACTAGACTTATAAGGTACAAGTGGAGAGATAGACAAAGTTGGGTGCTTTCTGTCTCGATTATGCAAAACGCATATGTGCGTGAGAAACACTGACCTTTTGGGAGAGAGAGAGAGAGATATCCTCTTCTCTTCAGGGTTGGAAGATCGAAGATTGGAGAGTGATGGAAGATTCTCTGTGGATTTGGATATATATAGATATAGGCATAGCAAGCGATTTAGGATGTACGGAAATGAGGCGCCGCCCATAGAATAGCCCGCAATAGAACTTTACCCAAAAATAGCCATGTTACGATTCACTAGTTACCAGACAGAAAAAAATATTATTTCATATTAATTTGTTGATATTATTTATTGATAATTGATAATCTCATCCATCATAATTAGAAGTATAAAAATACAATACGAACACAATACGGAATTTGGGCCTTCGTTAAATTATTCATTTCGTAAATGAGTGGATCTGATACGACACGATAAATAAATAAATGAATTGAATATGTCAATAAAAAAAAATACACAACACGACTCGTTTATATACTAATTATACACAATTCATACACGACATGAAACTTGATATTACACGACTTATCAGATACGAATTAATAAATAAATCGGGTATGAATGTAATATTTTTTGACATGAATCCTTTTTACTCAACACAATTGACAAGCTAATTATAATTTATTTAATTGATAATAAATTTTAATTAATATTAAAAAATTCACTATTAATTCAATAATTGTGATTCATTAAGTTAATAAATTAAGTCAAATAATTTTATTTTTTTTTGGAAAGGTTAGTCCAAATAATCTTGTTAGTTTTAAAAATGGGAATTTGGGAGTTTCATTGGAACATGGTAAATTTCTGCAAATAGCAACTTTAACAAGAAAATGGGCTTCTTAAGGATAAAGTGCAATTTTTAGCTCGTGATTGTCATGTTGCGTGTATCTGGTGTTGGATAATGTTTATGTTAAAAAAAAATGGGTAGCCTAAATACCCGAATTAGAGGTGGAGCAACCCAAATAAAATTAAAGTTTTTGAGTCTAGTGAGAGTTGGCTTGTCAAAATTTAATACGATCACATCACCAAACATGAAGAAACACAAAATTGGTGGATTTGAGTTTGAACTGTCGAACTCACATAATAATTGAATCATCTTCAATAGAGTATCTTAACTCGTTTATTAGCTGATTACCTATTTAATAAATTAATGCATCACTCGATTGTCTATTTACCACGCGATTACATATTATCCAATTACTTGATCCAATTTGTTGTAAAATTAGGGTTTTATATTAAGATTTTTTTGTGTTGTACAATTTGTGGGTAATTCAGAGTCACCTGGTAACCCAGTAAACACGATTCTCAGACCTAATTAAGAGTATCGTGCCTCTCATTTTCATATTATTATGATTTAGGTTTTTTTTTTTGGTATCATAATCGAACCCATAAATTGAATATTACCTTCTTCTTAAAGTATATACACATGTTGTCTATTATAAAAAGGAATTGAGAAAACATATATTTGTAGTGATCAGAATCCATTAAGTAATAAATGATTCTTATGAGGTATAGTTTGACCTCAAATGAATTTTAACTAATTCTGATTTAGCTATAAATTTCAAATTGGTATCGAATTTGATAACGCAATTGTTTCTAAACATTTATTCTTTAACACCAAGATAGGGTAATTGAAATTGATAATTCAAGTGATAATAGAAACGAGTTGTACACTTAAACGTCCTGAGTTCGAATATTGACAATCTTTTAGGACTAAACCATGAGGGAATTTCTCATGAATACTTCTATTTTCGTCATGAATAAAATTAGTTAAAGTACTCATAAGCCAATATATATATATATATATATATATATATATATATATATATATATATATAGGGGCGGAGCCAAAAAATCGTGTGAGGGTGCGCATGAATATTTCAACAAACTAATTTTTTTTCTTTTGATTGATAGAAATAGAATAATAATTTATATCTAATTACATCATATTTAATACTTAAAATTCATTAAACCAAATAGACTAAAACTTGGTAAACCTCTGGTATGTACAAACTACAAGAATAGGAAAAAAACTAATCATACTCTTTTATAAAATATAGGCTAATTAAAATCATTTAGAATTGATTTCGATAAATTTTCATACTTCGAAACCATAGCATAACAACTTTACACAATCATGTTATCACTTCAGTATTTATTACTCATTCGATTATACAGTTTAAAGCAGCACTCTATAATGCCTATCATAATTAGTAAAATAAATGTTAAAATCACAAATAAACTAGATAATATGTATATCATTTCTTTTTTAGTTTTAAAAAGTATAAAATGATTATAATATATTCAAAATTTTCTAAATAGGTATATAACACGTCCAAAATATCTCAAAAAAAAATTATATTCATTTAATATAAGTGTAAACTAATTGATGTGTCAAAAAATAGAGTGGACATTATTAAAAATATTAAAAAAATATTTAAATTACATATAAATAATGTTAAGAAAAAAAATTGAAGGTGGGCATGTGCCCCGCTGGGCATATTTTGGCTTCACCCATGTATGTATGTGTGTGTGTGTGTGTGCACGCGGTAATTTTCGCATAATAAAGGAAAAGAACAGAGCTTTCATTTGGTGAACACGAAATTTACCTGAAAGTCGAGGATCGCGAGGCAACAAGAAGTGAGAAAAGATCGAAAGGAGTGGTAATAAATTGTTTTTCCAGTTGTCCGCACGATTTTGGCGAGTTAAGAAGAAATCTGCCACAAAAAGAGTTAGACGAGCGGCAGAGAGTTTTTCAGCGTAACCCTTCCGACGATCAAGTCGGTATGCGTGAGAGGAGTGAAAACATTGTCGTGTTGTTGAGTGAGGTTTTGCGTGACTTTACTTTGAACTTTAGAGAGTTACTTATACCTCCCTAGAGGTGATCATTACTGACAGGTGGACCTTTTAAAAAAGAGGTCCTCCATTGGCTCATTTAGAAGGCAGTGGACAGTGCTCAGTCCTTGGATAGAACACCTTTCATCTTGCATGAAAGAGGCTCATGCATTAAATGCTCGGACTCTCGAGCACTTAATGTTTTTCATTCTAGCCTTTTTGAACATTTATTACGTCTAGTCCTTCTAAGGGGTTGGTCAATGCTCGACTATAAAGGTTGCGCACGAGTGATGGCATCTTCATCTATTGGCCTTTGCTTCTGTACTATTTGTCACATGTAACATCGTCATTGGGTGTGGATCTATCCTCTTTGCCATTTTGATAGTTTTGAGAAGACCATTCAATGATTATTGGCCAAATTTAACTCGAACTAACGATAGCAGTCATTCTGACACCTCTACCCCGAGATCTTAGAGTCGAGATAACGTGTCTGCAAATAGACCTCAGGGGAGTTAGTCAAGCTGAGGACACATGTCGCTATCTAGACACTCCAAAGTGCATAGCCGAGGACAGGTACTCTGCAGAACTCTTTGTGCCGAAGACGCATGTCACTAGCAAATGGCGTTGGGGAAACTTTGGGTCAAGGGCACGTATCCACCGCGGATGAGTCTGAGAGGACTTTGGTGTCAATGACACGTGTCTTAATAATAATACTTTGAAGGACCATCGTGCCAATAACACTAATCGCAACTCAAGCATTCCGAGGACTCTTGGACGAGAACATGTGTTGATTTCTGCTAATGTCTTAACAAATGTCCCATCAATATATATTGAACATATTCTTTACCCCATATGGTCCACAATATAAAGGATGATATTCATATATTTGGTATCAATTCAAAGAAACCCACAGAAAAGATTTTGGGGGTTCACCACATGATTGAACATAGAAATAAAGTGGGTGGAGTTGAACCATTGCAAACGAATTTTAACGTTATATGGCCAAACTAGGACACTTTGGGTAGTATTTCAGTATCAGACTTTCATTTTTTTTCCATCAGAATATGACGCGTGAAAAGTCATTTTATTTAAAGTTGAAAATAATTTTTTGGGCATCATAGTTGGACCTCTATTCCCTTTTTAGTTGTACTGCATCACATGCTGGTTGGTTTTTTTGGTGTGTTTAAAGTTAGCGGTCAGTCAAATGGCCATTATCTTCGTTTAAGCTTGTTAATTGTGTCGGGTAAAGTAACTTTGTGTCAAGTTTTATCAGGTTCGTGTCAAAAATCACTTCACTCATATTCGATTCATTTATTAATTCGTGTTTAACGAATCATGTCATATTAGATTCGTATCGTATATGAACTACGTATAATTAATACATAAACGAGTTGTGTCATGCATTTCTTCTAATTAATTTCATGCATATCCGATTCGTTTATTAATTATGTTGTGTCGGGTTCACTTGTTTACTAAATTATTGGCTTAAAGAAGATTTAAATCTTCTAATTTCGTGTCATATTAACAAATCGTGTTATATTTTGACACATTTAGTATCATTGCTAGACCTTAAAATCGTAAATTTAAATCTCGTCGTCCTTATCTCTATAATAGTGTGAGAGAAAAAAAAAACAAAGTATTTTTGGTCTATGCTCATGGGGACCATTATGGAATCTCACGTGAAAAATGTTGTCATAGGGACATCTACAGGTGTACTTTTTCATGTCCACAAAATAGAAATCCAAAACCACATATCACTATATGCCTCTAGTAGATCTTCATCTTGTGCTTGTTTGGTTTTTGCAATGAATTTTTGTTTCTTGTGATCAAATTGTTGATCTTGAATGCAACGATTAACGAGATTTTTAAATTCTCTTGATTACACTTTCAATAAATTTTATTTATATTACTCTTAGAGTTCTTATCAAATTCTATTTCAATGGCTCAACTAGTTACGAGTGGCAAAAACTCAAAAATTCATGATTCCTTTGAAGAATTGTATGTCGCCCAAGTATTTTTTTTTGGAATTGAAAAAAAAGAAGCAATTTTTCTTACAGCTCACTCATAGTGCAAGTTTTGCTTGTATATTATAGAAAAAATAGTTAAATATATATTTGGTCCCTGAACTATATTATTTATATTAATCAAGTCCTTGAACTATATTTTGTATCAATTTAGCATCTATACTATACCATTTGTTTCCATGTGCCCTTCAGTTCAAATTTGTGATTAATTTAGACGGAATTTCTCAAATGGCGTCACGTGAATCAGGGATTAGGGTATAGTTTAGGAGTCACATGATATGCATGTGAAGATTTCCATCAAACTTAATAATAAATTTGGACTGAAGGGTCATATTGACACAAAATATAGTTCAAATACTTGATTGACACAAACAGTATAGTTCAGACATCAAACAGATAGTTAACTCTGTGAAAAGTTACCAATAAATCATATTTTTTTCTAAAAAATATATATCTTAAGATAATTAAGTCATACTTTTGATAATTTATTCTCAAGAAGCCATAAACTCCATCAATAATATATTTTGTTCCAATTTTATAATTCCCATAAACACAATTAATCTTTTTAAATTAGTGCACAACACCCGAAACACATAAAGACTTACATAAATGATAAGCTATACAACTCTGTCTTTTCTTATATTTAACTTTTTTAAATTTGTACATTTCGACTCACCTATCTATTAAATCTCAACCATAAAGACATATAAGTATACAAATTAACAATGTAAAAAAAAATTGTTAATGCAATCTTTAAGAAAAGTTCATCCAGTTACAATTTTCTTTTTAATTCTCCTTCCACATTTTGAATTAATAAGAAAAGAATGACTGTTTTAAGGCATTAAAAATAAAAAACTTTAAACATTCGAAACTACAATATTGTATTTAAGAGATAAAATAAAAAATACTTATGTATATTATGACTTATATAATATTTAGAATTCACTCTCATACAAACTCTGATATATCAATAGGATAAATGTTTTAATAATTACAAGTATAACTTTCATGTATTTCAATTTAATATACAAAAAATCATATTTCAATAAAATAAAATTAAATAAAAATATAATTTGTGAGTTCATGCAAGATAAAATTTGAACGAAACAGACTACAAATAAAGTATAGGACTTTTTGAAAATAATAAATTATTAAAAGTATGACTTAATTATTCTAAGATAAATATAATAGAACTTAATGATTATTTTAAATTAAAAGTAGAACTTATTGCTGATTTTTTTTATATTGTATTTGGCCAAATAAGCATCGAATAGATTGGAATTCTAACCTTTTTGGACTCGTTTGGTATATGTATTATGAGGGGATTAAATATTTGATTGCACTATTTTTTATTTAATCAGGTGTAATTCTTTGTTTGATAAGCAATTTTGAGTTTGTATTAATTTCAAAAACGTATACTAATCGTATATTTATGATATATTTTTTATATACCACACATGTATTATGGAGGTATTTTAATACCACCAGAAGAGGTGGTAATATAATTCACCTCAATGTATTATTTTGCAAGATTACTGTTCTAACCCCCATATCTAATCAAATCAACTTATCTTTAACGTAAATTATACCTTGTCAAACGCACGTTTCTCACTCCCATTGTTCTTCATCGGCTGCTATAACATGTTTTCCAAATAATATAATCTATCTTTTTCAATGTAGAAAAAGCCAAATGCGGATGAGATAAGGACCAAATCATTTCCATTTTATAATCAATGGTGTGTCATATTTGGAAAGACAGGACCACAGGTGAACATGCGGTCCGCAAATGAAGTTGAAATGGTGGGTACTGATGACATTGGGGTGTCCAATGGAGTAATTCAAAACTCGAATGAAAATGTCAGGACCCAGCCTGAGAAAAAAAATAAGAGGAAGAGAATTGATTCTAGAGTAGAAGATATTAAAAAAACACTTACTTCTTTTCTATCTGGGAGTAGTCAAGTACTAGGGGACATGGCTAAACACATGGGATATGCACATGACGTTGCTGACAAAAGAGCTAGGGTCTATGGGATCCTTGAGCAAATTGAAGGGCTAAATTTCTTTGACAGAATAAGAGCTGGACAGATGTTTGTGAATGATCAGAAAAGGGTTGACTACTTCTTCAGCTTGCCTGATATTGAGAAGCCATATTGGTTGCAAATGCTTCTTAATGGTAAACTTTAAAGTGAGATGATTTTCACTTCAGTGGCGGATTTATGTCATTTTCTAGTTATAGTAATAAATAAGTAGACTTAACATAGACTTTAATGTGACTTTTAATTTTGCTTTTTTTAGTTTTTATCTGTAGTTTTGAGTTGTTATGTGGATTTGTCATGGTTTTGACAATGGTTCACATAAATGAATTGATTCGAATAAATTTTTTTTTTTAATTGATGGTATTTTGATTGATATTATTGTCAATTAATTATTACTATTATTAACTCAATGGAATATTGTTAAACTTAATAAAATATTTTTTTAAGTATAAAATGAATAAACTTGATCTTTTTGGTAATGGGGGTAAATCTTGATCATATTTCCCGATTAACGATGATGGTATTTGGAAGGGATCATAATATCATCCATGTTATTGGCAGTGTCAAACACTATAATTGATTAAGGATATTTTTGTTAATTTAACATTAATACGATGTAATAATTCTCTAACCAAACAATGGATTGAACTAAATAATTACTATATGACGCTTATATTGTGTATGTCAAATATTAGATAAAATTACGTATTATTCTAATACCCTATTTAATCTTGTATTTTATCCATTTGTATTGTATTAGCCTGTATTAATTTATCTAATCCTTCTATTTCTAATACAGCAAACAAACGAGCCCATTGGGATTCCATGGAAAAAGACTTGCTTTTATTATACTAGCGGTCGTCGGTATGATTTTTGTAATTTTCTCTTTATTGCCACCGCCACCCCTACTATCACCCAATCTTAGCATTATTATAAAATTACTTATTAATGTGTTGTATTGATATTTTGGGAAAAAATTAAATGTAAAGTAGTTTAATGACGATGATAAAAAATTTTAATGTGAAAGTAGCCGTCAAAAGTTAGAAATGGTTACATTGGCCACATGTTGAAATTCTATTGGAGCAGATAATTAAATAATTTAAAATTACAAAAAAAAAATAAGATTTGGGCAGAGAAAATTTCTTAAGCATCCTTTCTCCTAAATTAATTATTTATATAGTATAGATATAAATGGGCAATAGTAATATACTTTATTATAGATCCCCACCATAAATTAAAGTGGCACTCATAATTTATTAAAAAATTATAAATATATATATATATATATATATATATAAAGGAGAACTAAGTCCTTCATCAAAAGGTGCAAAACGTCACAATCTCCATGGAAGGAGTGCACTTATTGCTTTGCACTGTTAGTTCCAACTATAGCACCAAAAAATAAATTTTTGATATCATACTTTTATTTTTTTTATTTTATAGCACTTAATTATATTTGTAATCAATAGTTATAAATAAATCAGACCAAAATTTACGATCATGGATCAATTTTGATACAATATTATTTATACCCAAAAATAACGAAATTTGTAGGTGACATGTGGAAGGAATCTGAGGGTCATAAAAAAGTATGTGATAACCTATATTTAACATATTGATTAAGGAAGTAAAACTCTAAGAATTTTGAAAAGCGAAAAAATATGACATCATGAGTCACCAGATAGAGAAGGTTAAGTACACTTCTATAGACTCTGAACTAAGCCTGACAATTCTAGACACGACTTGTAAAACAAAAACAAATTTGGCAAATTTGAGTGTAGTCTTAACGGGTTCGAGTAGTTAACGGGTTAACTCGGCAGACTCGTGAAATAAATAAATCGATTTTGTGTTTAACTTATAAACTTGTTTCAACCCGTTTAACCCGTTAACAGTGGTACTATAATGTTTTTTTACAAAAAGTTAGGTTTCTCAGCCTCTGCCTCATCTCACACCTCTCACCTCTTAGACTCATTCAAATTTATTAGTCATTTAATATTTATTTTTTGTCTTTATTTTCTTGCTCAATCATGATTTATTATTATAGTAAACAAGTTAAATATGTGTAATGTGTACCAAGGTGATGATTTTTTGTATATACTCGAAATATTTTAACCTATTCTTTTATTTAGCAAGTGACACAAAGGTTGTATCGGGTAACTCGTCTAATAAATTATTCGTATATGGATGTGATAGTTGGATTCGTTTATATAAACGAATGGCGTATGGATAGAGGGGTTTTTGACACATACCCATTCTACTCAACACAAAATCGTTTCATTCGACATGATTGTCAGACCTATTTTAAACATTTCGAAAGAAAAGACCATGATTACAATCATGACAATAAAAGATAATTTTAACGATTAAAGGTCATTTCTATGAATAACAAGGGCAAAGATACATAGAAGGGATCTACAATCAAACACAACAAACTCTATACATAGTCAACTTCTCTCCTACTTATTTCTTTTTATTTTTCAATAACTTTACTTCTACTCGGAACTCATCACTCCGATAATTTTACCATTTTTATTTAATGTTAAGTACAGTAATATTTTCATTTTCTAAGCTTAGTTTAATTGGTACTTTACATTCCAGTTTTTTTTCTACGTTCTGGTCCATTACGTTACAAGTTGGGAAATTATTTAAAGTCTTTAATCTCAAAGCCATAGAAAAGAACTCGAAGGTAATTTTATGTCTCGTTATAATTATCTGAACAATCACGATTTAAAAATTTCACACTAATTCGAATAAATAAGATCATTCGTGTTTAAATCATAAGTCTAATCAAATTTTGACATATCCATAATCTAAAAAAGCGCTAGACAACTACCCAAAAATATTTAGTTAGTACTGTGGCCATATCCTACAGTGTTTCCTTGTACTAAATGTGGCTGGTGACCTTATGGACGGCTCCTAAAGTGGGCATGTGGAGAGGAACATCCGAACACCTAGTCAATCAATCCTCTAGAGGAGATTTTTCAAAGATTTTCATTTTGGATGTAGATCGGCAATTTCAAGTTGCTAACGTTGTATTGTCTCTGTCAGTCATTTTCAATGGACAAGAATAAAGCCTCACAAAGTATATATAAAAATCAAAAAATCAAATCAAAGACCTTTGATAATATTTCTTGGTCATCTTTTCCTACAAATAGGGTTGATACATTTTAACCAACTGGAATAGTTCAGTTTGCCAGGGCCTCTAACTTTTTAGTGGGTAGTCCGTGGTTCGAAATTTTTGGGTGTAAAAAAACGTGATTGATTTGTAGGACAAGATCGAAGTTGTTTAGACGAAGTGTATCTAAGTCTTTAGTATGGGTATCGAGTCTCTCACGAAACGCTAGTCCTGATTTTAATGGTATATGAGCTAAGAAATTTGTTTATATACCCAAACTTTGTCACTAGTTCTACTCAGAATCACGAGTTTAAGTGACATAAGTGCGTCTTTACTTACTGATGACAGGCTGAAGGATTGATACATTTTTCTGTTCGAATTCTACTTTGCACACCGAAATATTTTAAGAATTATTATTATATGCCCTTAAAAATTAAAATTTTCACATTACATACTTAATGTATATAAAATGTTAGGTTGGAACTCTTTTTTTAGTTTTCTTTATTTATTCTATCAACATCACTAAAGACACGTTTGGATGACAATAATTTTAATTAGAAATAAACATCTCATTCCTAATAGCCCGATAATCGAGTTTCAATTATCATAGTAAATAATGAGATAATCGAGTTTCAAGTACCATAGTAATTTCATATTTAGTGTTTGGTTATTATAAGTAATTTAATGTGGGAATTAATATCATTGTAAAATTTTTTTTTTTTTTTTTAAACTTAATTTTAAAAGGAGATTAATTTTAGGAAGGGACTTGATTTTGAGATTTGTATTCCTTTATAAAAATACCCAATTAATGTTAGATTTGAGATTATTACCATTGGTCATGGGTTTAGGATACCCACCATTATTTAGAATTATATTACTACAATAATTTTATTATCGAGTTATATTATTGAACAATTGATTATGAAAACATGATAATTTATAATTTAAGAATGAAAATCTTATTTTAAATTAAGATTATCGTCGTTCAAACGGAACCAAAAAATTTTTTTTTAACAAAATGAAAAGCAAAGCCAACGAAAATGTTACGTTGCAAGAATACGACATTTTTGCAAGGGGACAAGATATTATTGTATTTTCTTCATGGGAAACGTGTGCATACATTAGTGTATTAGAAAACGGTGCCTTGGATGAATTTACAATTTTCATTGCGAATTTTTTAATTTACATACATGGAAAAAGTAAGATTGATACAAATTGTATACTATCTATAGGAAGGATAGTGCTCCCCCCGGTTGGTCAGTAGGCCTAGAACTCTGACGTAAGCTCCAACGTAAAAGTTCAATCAAGGGAAACTAGAGGTCGGTGCATAATATTAGAATTATTAAGAAAAAAAACACATTTTTTAAAAATATCTGTAAAAAAATTCATCCATTATAGCTAAAGTCCAAAATAGCTTCTTTTTTTTTTTTTTTTAAGTTGTAGTGATTTTTCACCCATATAAGAAAACTAATAATTGTCTATACCTGAAAATACTGCGTTACTCATAAAAAATGAATAAAATTAATTCAAAACAACACCACATATACATTAAGAGAAAAAATGCAGACAGAACCAAACCAAATTTATAATCTTTAAGTAATAAATGAAATCAATAAAATCTTTCTTGTATTCGTCACCATTACCATAATCCAATTTAATAACATAACATAATTATAAACTCAATCCACCCAAGTAATAATCTAATTTTATGGTTCACTTGTTACTTTTTTTTTATTTTATAATTTTTGTTTGTGTGGAAGTGGTGATGGTGATTACACTGATTTTAAATTTTTTTCTGCAACTGCAATTAGTTTCAATTATTTTGTTTTTATTGGTCACTTGTTTTTTTTATTTTATATTTTTTGATTGCGTGGAAGTATTGATAATTAGTTTGGATTTTTTTTTTGATGTAATTGGTATCACTTATTTTTTTTTGTTGGTGATTATCTTGGACTTTGTGTTTTTGTTTCTCGAGGGAATATTTATATTTTTTGTTTGTGTGCAAATGGTGATGGTGATGGTAATTAGATTAG